ATCACGGGGCGGGGCCAAAGGTGTGAGTCAGGTGCTGGCAACTCAAATATGGCGCCTGCCTGCCAAAGGAGTGATGGCCTCTGCCAGCCCTTCTGCCCGGGAGGAAGCCGCCCCTCCGCCTCTCACCCGGATCTCAGGCAGGTCAGTTCCTCCCCGAGTGTCCCAGGTCCTTTCAGGCTGCTGCCCGGCGCTGGGCTCAGGGAGCGTCCGAGTGAGTCCGTGCCGGGCCCTTTAGAAGAGCTGCTGGGGCTCCCGTAGCCTCCGCGACCCTCAGCGACAGTCCCCCCTCGTTTTCATAGCCTGAAGGTGGGGGGACTTTTCTTCCTGGCCCTGGAGCCCTGGGTTGGGGGCCTGATGTGAGGCTGGGACCCCCTCCCTCCTCCGGGAAACCCCCAGCACCGAGATTTCCTCCGAGGTTTACCCGCTACACCAGGTGTGGGTCTGCGGCCTTGTCTCCTGGATCCCCATCCGCCCTCGTCTCCGCGCCTCCTACTGGTCTTGGAGCTTCTTCAGCTCCCTGGTTGCAGGGCTTCTGTTCAGCCAGCAGTTCTTTAGGTTCCAAAATTCTTTACTAATGCCTGATTATTTTTATCCTTGTCAAATTGACATTTAAATTCACTTTGAATTCTGTAACGGTAAATGATCTTTTCTTGAGTTTTGATGATATCTCTCTTATTTCCTTATTTCTTTACAATGTTTACAGAAATACTGTCTTCTCTTTCTTAGGATGATTGTAGAGTTGTCTTGGCAAAACAAGAAATTACAAGGTTACTGGAAACATTGCAAAAACAGCAGCAGCAGTTTACAGAGGTTGCAGATCACATTCAGTTGGACGCCAGCATCCCGGTCACTTTTACAAAGGTAAGGCACAGTACTGCATTTTAGGTTTCTCTTCTGATGACTCATAATTGCTTATATTCCGTGATAATCAGCTTGTAAAGACAACTAAGACATTCATGAATCACAGAATTTAAAAAAAATGTATTTGTGAAAAATAGAAAGGGGTATAAGGAATCTCCCTGCACCCATCACTCACTTTAACAACCAAAAACTCTTACATTTCATCTCTTCTTTCCCCACTTCCTTTTCTTTTTGCAGTCTCCCAGGTTATTTTGAAATAAATCCCAACATATTTTATCCCAACATTATATCATTTCACCTGTGTAATGTTTTCAAGTATATTTCTAAAAGGTAAGGGCTCTTTTTAAAAACATAACAAAAGACTGTTATCATGCCTGAAAAATTTAATAGTAAATCTCTAATATTAGTCATTATCCAGTTAGTATTCAGATTTCCCAGATTGTTAAAAAATTTTTGTTGCTTTTTTTTGAGACAGAATCCAAACAAGGCTTGTACTTGTTTGATATATTTTAATCTCTTTTAAAGTGGATTCCTCTAATTTAAAAAGGTTCATGTGTTCCATTTTGCTTTCTGTTTTTAGGGACTTTTTTTTAATAATTATGTGAAACATTTACATGGTCCAGAGTCACATCTACAAAGCAAGGTTCACTCAGAGCAGTCCAGCTTCTACCCCTGACTCTCCCCTACTCTTTCCTCCCTTCCCCATAGAAAACCATTAAGAATGTTTTCTGAGTTTTATCATTTAAAAATATAGAGAGAAATACTTTTATATAATTACCTGCACACTCCCTATATTTAAAGGTAGAACCTTACATATTTCTCCACCTTGTCCTTTTCACCTAAGTGTGTCCTGGAGAACACGCCATGGCAGTATACAGTGATATTTTCTGTTCCTTTTTATAGCTGCAAGATACTTTATTGTGAGGATGTACCAGAGTTTTTTATATATTGTTGTAAAAAACACATAATATAAAATTTACTATCTTAACCACTTTTAAGTGTACAGTTTAATATTGTTAAGTACTTTCACATTGTGTGGAACAGATCTCCACAAATTTTTCATCTTGCAAAACTGAAACTATGCTTTATAAACAATCACTCCCCCTCCCCCGCATATTACCAGCTCCTGGTAACTTTCTGTTTCTTTGAATTTGAGTACTATAAATACTTCATGTAAGTGGAACCATGCAGTATTTATCTTTTTGTGACTGGCTTATTTCATTTAGCACAATGTCCTCAAAGTTTACTTATGTCGTAGTATGTGACAGAACTGTTTGCATATACCACGTTTTGTTTATCCATTTATCCACTGAAGGATATTAGGGTTACTTCCACTTGTTAGCTATTGTGAATAGTGTTGCTATGAACATAGGTATGCAAATACCTCTTTGAGTCCTTGCTTTCAATTCTTTTAGGTTTATGTCCAGCCACAAGATTACTGGATCTTACAGTGTTCAATTTTTAATTTTCTAAGAAAATGCCATACTGTTTTTCATAGTGGTTGCACCATATTATAATTCCAACAGCAGTGCACAGGGTTATAATATCTCTACATTTTTACCAACACATGTTATTTTTTGTTTTTTGTTTTTGGGGTTTGGTATGGGGTTGTCTTTTTTTTTTTTTTTAATAGTAGCCAACCTAATGGGTATGAGGTAATTTTGATTTGCATTTCTCTGATGATTAGTGATATTGAACATCTTTTCATATGCTTTTTGGCCATCTTATATCTTCTTTGGAGAAATTAGTTATGAGTCCTTTGCCTGTTTTTTAATTGAGTAATTTGATATTTTGTTGTTGAGTTGTAGTTCTTTATATATTCTGGATATGAATCCATTATCAGATACACGATTTGCAAATATTTTCTCCCAATACCTAAGTTGCTTCTTCACTCTGTTGACTGTGTCCTTTGATTCATCAAAGTTTTAAAGATTGATACAGCCCCATTTGTCTGGTTTTGCTTTTGCTGACCATACTTTCGGTGTCATAGTGAGGAAATCATTGCCAAATCCAGTGTCATGAACCTTTTCTCCTGTATTTTCTTTTAATAATTTTATGGTTTTAGATCTCATGCTTAGGCTTTAATCCATATACTTATAATCCAATTATTTATCATTGTTATATCTTCTTTGTAAATTTACCCTTTTCATTATATAATCACTTTCTGTGTCTCTTATAATGGTTTCTGAATTAAAGTCTATTTTGTCTGGTAGGATAGCCATCCCTGCTCTTTTAGGTATGATTTGCATGGATTGTCTTTTTCCATCCTTTCACTTTGAGCCTATATATGTCATTAGCTACAAAGTGAGTGACTTGTAGACAGCATATTATTGGATCTTGTTTTTTTTTTTATCCATTTAGTCAAATGGTGTCTTTTGATTGGGGAGTTAAATCCATTAATATTTAAAGTGATTATTGATAAGTAATGACTTACTCTTGCCATTTTGTTGATTGTTTTCTGTATATTTTGTAGCTTTTTGTCTCTCCTCTCTTACTGCCTTCTTTTGTATTTTATTGTTTTATAGTGATGTGGTTTAATTTCCTTCTCATTCTTTTTGTGTATATTCTATGTTTTTTTTTCATTTCCATTGTAATTACATAAGATATCTTAGTTCTGACATTCTATTTTAAACAATAACACTTCAACTTCAATTGCATACTAAAACCCTGTTTCATCCCTCATACTTTGTTATTGATGTCACAAGTTACATCTTTATATATTGTATACCTATTAACAGAGGCTTACAGTTAAAATTTTTTTCTCTTTTTTCAATTACAGTTTACATTCAGTATTGTTTTGTATTAGTTTCAGATGTATAAAATAATTTTTATTTCAATTCTATAAAAATTAAATTTATGTACCAAAATTACAATAATACAAGTTACTATTTGTTCACATATTTACCACTTTATCATTTCGTATGTCTTTGTGTTCCTGTCTACCAGCCTTTTGTTTGAACTTTAAAGACCCCTTTAGCATTTCTTTTAGAGCAGATCTAGTGGTAGTGATTGCCTTAGCTTTTGCTTTTCTGGGAAAGTCATTTTTTTTCTTCCTTTTTGAAAGACAGTTTTAGCGTATATAGCATTCATGGTTGACAGCTTTTTTCCCCTTTATTATTTAAAAATTTTAAAATTTCAGTTCAGTTCAATATTATTCTATATTAGTTTCAGATGTATAGCAAAGTGATTAGAAAATCATGTACCTTAGAGAGTGGTCCCCCCAATGCTTCAAGTACCCACCTGGCCCTATGCATATTTATCACGATATTATTGACTATATTCCTTTTGCTATAATCTATATTCCTGTGACTATTCCGTAACTACCAGTTTGTACTGCTTAATCCTTTCACTTTTTTCACCCAGACCCCCATTCTCCCTCCCCTCTGACAACTCTCAGTCTGTTCTGACAGTTTTTTTCCCCAACACTTTGACTATAGTCTCCCACTCCTTTTCTGGCCTGCAAACTTTCTGCTGAGAAATCAGCTGATAAGTCTTACGGAAGCTCCCTTGTATGTAATGAGTCATTTTTCTCTTGCTGCTTTTAAGATTCTCTTTGTCTTTGACTTTTGACAGTTTGATTATTATGTGTCTCAGTGTGGGTCTCTTTGGGTTTTTCCTAGTTGGGATGCATTGAGTTAGAATTTTTATGTCCATTTCTCTCCTCAGATTGGGAAGTTTTCAGCCATTATTTCTTCAGGTAAGTTCTCTCTGCCCCTTTTCTTTCTTCTCTTTCTGGGGCTCTCCTAATGTGTATATTGGGCTCTTTGTTAGTGTCCCGGGAGTAAGTCCCTCAGGCTTTCTTCGCCCTTCTTCACCCATTTTTCTTTTTTATCCTCTGACTTGATGATTTCAAACAACCTGTCTTCAGGTTTGGTGATTCTCTTTTCTGTCAGATGAAGTATACTATTGAGATGCTCTAGTGAACTTTTTCAGTGCAGTTATATATTCAGCTCTAGAATTTTAGTGCCTTTTTTTTTTTTTTTTTTGAA